TTCCTGAAGCAGCCGCCACAGGAGGTGAAGTCAGACGCTGATCAGAACCAGGAACCTCTGATCTGGACCTTCAGCCGGTGGAACAGGTTCTGCTGCCTGGCTGTGGACCAGCCCTGACATCACAGCTCAGGTAGAACTCAGGTTCTGTCTGACTGGTTCTGACACCACTAGGTGTAGACAAGAATGTGATGTCCAGAACCAGAGCTTCTGTGCAGCTCGAAGCCAGACTGAACCAGAGCAGATCAGAGAAACCAACACCAGAGCCTCCTGTTCCATGTTCTGGAAGGTTCTTCGAGTCCAGGCCGTCTTTGGAGCAGGGGTGTAGAATTGGACACGTCCCTACCAATATCCAGCCACTAATGTGTAGTCACTGTCAATACAACCACTGGCCGTAGTACTGAATTCCTCTAGGGGATGAATAAAGCATCTACAATAATCATAGTGTTTAGTCAATGATGACATCACACAAAGGTTTAACCACTAGAAGTCCCGCCTCCAACCTAAATGTTGCTCTCCGATTGGTTCTGTCAGTTTCTCGCTGTTGTACATGTGATTGGCCGTCCCTGCTGTCAATCCATGTGCTTGTTAAAGCTGCTGTCAACCTGCTGGACAGGACAGAAGACAATGCATGTGTCAGTAGGGAGGGCATCAACATGAGCACTATGATTATAATCACTAGTGTCATTTATATTAACATTCATATTTGTGTCTGTTTGCGTGTGTGTGGGTGAATTTCTTTTTTGACTATGGTTGTTTTCTTGTTTGATCAGCTCTGCATGACATGAAATTATGATTGTAAATACAGAACTAGAAAAGCCCTCTGAGAGCTCAGAGCTCCTCCCAGCAGCTCATTTCCACCATATTGTGACCTCCAGTCGAAGTTCTGCATTCATTTTTCTACACTGTTAGATTGATGGAGAATCAGAACATAGCTTTAGCATTTGAATTAACATTGATATCATCAATAACAAGCTGACGGAGTGATGAACGCTCGTTCTGTATTCTTACATTATTTCTGGAGTTACCTCCTGGCTTTAAGCTGTTAGCTAACGCTATGCTAGGTTGGCATAACTACAGCGATGCTATTGCTAAAATAAAAAGACAGGGAGTAGCTTATGCTAGGTTAGCACAACTTTGGCAACGTAAATGAAAAGCATGACCGAAGCATGCATCAGTCGTCCTGACTCATGGCAAAGAGTCAAAGTGGACCAGGAGACATGCTGAGTCATTGTTAATGTCACAACGTGGTTCTGAACTGATCTGTCAGTAGCTCCGCTCAGCCCACTCCTGTGATGCTGCCTGGCTGCAGCTTCCTCCTGCACGACTGAGAAGACAGTGGTGAGAACTGAAGGACTGAATGGAGTCAGAGCTCCATCTAGTGGACAAACGGTGCAACGACAGCATTCTGCACGACTTCAACACTTGACAGCATTTAGTGTTTAATGAGAAAATAACCAGATGGTAGCCAGAACATCACCAGAATGTCATCATCTGTTCATTGTGCCATTATTAACATTTCCTGAAAATTTCATGAAAATCTGCTTAGAACTTTTTGAGTTATCTTGTTAACAAACTAAAAACCAACCAACAGATAAACGACAGCTGAATCATAACCTCCTTGGAGGAGGTAAACAAGTCAACTTTCAGGAGGGCTGCCTTGGAGCCCTTTTGTGTCCCCACCAATGTCATAAACAAATCTACTCTCTGGCTTCAGAGCAGCGATTCTAGAGGTTCTGTGAGTGGGGTGGTACCAGGTCCAAACCAACTGAGCTACTTCAGTGTGGTTCTGTGGAACAGGTCCAGCCTGGAGATGAAGCCCAGACAGAACCTGCTGGAGGACAGAGGCAGAACCAGGACGGGTCTCAGCTGGAACGTCTGGGCTCTGGAGGTTCCTCAGACAGAACTGACCAGAACTTTCTGTTAACCCACAATCACCAGCTGCAAGTTTAATGTTCTGATCGTAGCTTTACTTGTCCATATGGCTGAGTGGACGATTATTGATTATTAGAGTTCTCAATATTGATTATATGATTAGAGATCATATTAATGTATCAATAGTCCTGATCAGTGATCATACTAGCGTATCAATAGTCCTGATCAGTGCTGCTATCAGCGTATCAATAGTCCTGATCAGCGCTGCTATCAGTGTATCAATAGTCCTGATCAGTGCTGCTATCAGCGTATCAATAGTCCTGATCAGTGATCATATTAGCGTATCAATAGTCCTGATCA